AAGTAAGGTAAAATAAAACAAAAAAAAATCAATCAACCATACCCTACCTAGGTCACGACAGCAGCAGCAAAGGAGGAGACTAGGAGGAGTCTCTATCAACCAACAACTAGCAAGGAGTCGTCAATCAGGTTCGCGAACAACAGCTTATCGATGATTAGGTTTGTCCCTCTTTCTCTCCCCCTTTCGCTCCATCTCGCTCGATCTCACTCTCTCTCCCTCTCCCTCTCGCTCGATCTCACTCTCTCTCTCTCTCTCTTTTCCTCTCGGTCGACCTCTCCCTCTCCCTCTATCGTCTCTCGCTCTCCCTTTCGTCTTTTTTTTTTTTTTTTTGAACCAGTCCAGACAACCAGTCCAATCCCTTTCAATTTGTCTGGACTGGACACATTTTTTTTATGTTTTATTTTATAAGTATACTCTGAATGTAGACTGTAATCTGTTTTGGCCCCATTTGATATATAATTTTTTTTTTTAGTATACTTTGTAACCTGATTGGGCCTAATTTGATATATCATATATATATATATATTAGCTTTTATATTTATAATTATAAAAAATTGAGGTTCAAGGAAAAGTTGGGCTGTGGAAAGAAGAAAAAGAAAAAGTAGCACCCACGTGAGTTCCATCCAATTTTTTATATATATAAGATAAAAAAAAGGTTTGGACGGTGGAAAAATATTTTAAAATAGAAAAAATTATATAATATAGTTATCTCTTTGAAACTATATGCTGGTGTTGATCAAAAAAGTGGGCCAAATTACCAATACCGCCAATCTTGTAGACATCCTGAAGTGGGAGACGAAGAGGCTTGTCTGATGGCCTCTTGGGCTCTGTAATCATGTCGAGGGCATCAAGAAGGGTTGGGCCCTTGTACCATGTTACCGGTGTAGAAGACACTGTATGTGTGTATATAGACTGCCCAAAAGATATACATGGATATAGATATCGAGCCCTCAAAAGTCGTGCCCTATTTTGTGGCTTGGAATAGCAGGGGATTGAAACCAGATGCAAGGAAGGCCGGTGTCGCGACGGAGCTTTGGCAAAGGGACATCGACGTGCAAGCGGTGGTGGTCTCCGGCGACTGAACAGTAGTGCACTCAGAAAGGAAATTTCAAGTTATGTGTAGAAAAATTTTAGCAGATTAGGTTGAGGTCCGGCGGACGGCCAAGGCGAGGTTGCTGCCCGCCGGTGAAGTGAAAAATACTAAGTGCTTAACCTTACTCTGATACCATGTAGAAATTTAATGTATAAAGAGAAAAAGAGAATTGTATTATTGATTGATGTTTGTAATTGTTGAATTATTGAATGCTACAATGATTCCTATATATAGAAGAGTAGGTGGTAGTAGGTGATAGTGGTGTAGGTGAAGGTAAATTCTATATAAAGTAACTCTCAGATAGACTAAGCAACCCACAAGCTCTTCATATAAAGTAGGATCAATGATGTTTGTAATTGTTGAATTATTGAATGCTACAATGATTCCTATATATAGAAGAGTAGGTGGTAGTAGGTGGTAGATGGAGTAGGTAAAGTGGAGGTGGTAGGTGGAGTAGGTGAAGTGGAGGTGGTAGTGGTGTAGTGGGTTTAGTGGTGTAGGTGAGGTGGTAGTGGTGTAGTGGGTTAGGTTTAGTGGAGTAGGTGAGGTGGTAGTGGTGTAGTGGGTTAGGTTTAGTGGGTGAAGTAGGTGATAGGTTTTAACAAGGGCTTTACTATCACGTGGGGGTAGGTATACTCTGGTTAAGACAGTGCTAAGTGGAATTCCGATTTATTTCATGTCTGTGTTTAAGGTTTCAGTCAAGGTAGCAAAATCTATTGAAAAGTTAATGAGGGATTTTCTATGAGAAGGGAAATGTGAGGGTAGGAAGGATTATTTGATGAATTGGGAAACGGTGTCCTTATCTAAGGAGAAGGGGGGGTTTGGCCATTGGTAATATAATGGCTAGAAACATGGCTCTGCTGGGCAAGTGGTTATGGCGATTTCCCAATGTGTGTGGTTCATTATGGCATGCGGTTATTAAAAGTAAATATGGAATTCAGGTTAATGGTAGGGACTCTCAGGTGGTCTCGAGGGGTAGTGGTCGTGCTCTTTGGAAGTCCATTTCTCAGATTTATCCAGTTTGGTCCCGATTCATTTCTATGAGGGTGGGTAATGAAGAAATGCTCAAATTTTGGGAGGATGTTTGGGTGGGTTCGATGTCCTTGGTTGAGTCATATCCACTTCTGTATGGTGTTTCTCAATCTCATAATTGTTCTGTTACGTCTATGGTGGGTTCTTTGGTGGTTCCTTTATTTTGGAATTTTAATTTCCATTGGAATCTTCATGACAGGGAAGTTTCAGAATTGATTTCGCTTTTGTCAAGGCTCGAAAATGTTTATCTGTCTCCAATGTTGAAGGATAGGTTGGTTTGGAATATTCATTCGTCAGAGTCTTTTACTTGTAAGTCCTTTCTTGATAAAATCATTGATAATTCTCATGTCTCTCAGTTTCCATTTCATAACAAGATTTGGAAGGCGTGTGCTCCTCTCAAGGTGAAAGTGTTCATGCGGATTTTGGTTCATGGGGGCACTCTGACCAATGATTCATTGCAAAAGAGGAGACCTTCGCGGTATCTTAATCCTCAATGTTTCATCATGTGTTGTAGAAGTGGAGAATCTTTGGATCATCTCTTTTTGCATTGCTCGGTGGCTAGATGTTTATGGCCTATGAAGCACGGATACTTTGAAATGGCTCCCGTACGCGTATCGGATACGGATACGGATACGCGCCCAATACGGCAGGATATGTATCAAATACAGCAAAGAAGTATCCAATTTTTTTAAATTTTTTTTTTAATTTCGGATACGTTTGTGATACGCGAGGATACTTCAGAGATACGGTCGGGATACTTTTGGGATACAGCGGGGCAAAAAATTAATTTTAAAAACTTATAATGGGGTCAAACTATAAAATAACAAAAGTAAGGTAAAATAAAACAAAAAAAAATCAATCAACCATACCCTACCTAGGTCACGACAGCAGCAGCAAAGGAGGAGAGGAGGAGGAGTCTCTATCAACCAACAACTAGCAAGGAGTCGTCAATCAGGTTCGCGAACAACAGCTTATCGATGATTAGGTTTGTCCCTCTTTCTCTCCCCCTTTCGCTCCATCTCGCTCGATCTCACTCTCTCTCCCTCTCCCTCTCGCTCGATCTCACTCTCTCTCTCTCTCTCTTTTCCTCTCGGTCGACCTCTCCCTCTCCCTCTATCGTCTCTCGCTCTCCCTTTCGATCTGTTTTTTTTTTTTTTGAACCAGTCCAGACAACCAGTCCAATCCCTTTCAATTTGTCTGGACTGGACACATTTTTTTTATGTTTTATTTTATAAGTATACTCTGAATGTAGACTGTAATCTGTTTTGGCCCCATTTGATATATAATTTTTTTTTTTAGTATACTTTGTAACCTGATTGGGCCTAATTTGATATATCATATATATATATATATTAGCTTTTATATTTATAATTTTTTTGATTATTAGTTTAAAAGAATTAAAATAAGTTGTAAATGTGTTTGGTTATAAAAAAAAGTTGAACTTTTTTGGCTAAATAAATTGTCACATTTTTTTTTTGTGCAAAAAATATTAAAAATGTCCTAAAAAGTTATAATTAATTTATTATAAGCAAATAAATAAATAAATAAACTTATTAATAAATAAACGAACTTTGTAAATTTTTTCCCCCTTAATTTGAATTGCATTATGGTTGTTATGGGTGATGCTATATTGTTGAACTTTTGCTTTAAGTTTTATTTTTATGTATGCTACATTACTAAAAATTGTTGAAATTTTATTTTTTTGTATGCTACATTACTAAAAATTGTAAAAATAATATTTTGTATGAACGTATCCCTGCCGTACTCGTATCCTAGTTTTTCAAATTTTGTCGTATCACCGTATCCGTATCGTATTGTACCCGTATCCCGTATCCATATCCGTATCCGTATCCATGCTTCCTAGTTTATGGCTTAGGGTGTTTGGATTGGGTAGTGATGTGGGTGGCCCCAAAAGGATGTGCTCAGATGTTATTATTTGATTTTCATGTTTTTTGAAGATCGAAGAGAGCTAAAGTATTGTGGAGTGGTGTAATCTTTTGCAATTTTCTGGGTTGTTTGGTTGGAAAGAAATGCTCGGATTTTCGAAGGAGTGGCCCGGGATATAGATTACTTATGGGATAGGGTGAGATACTTGGCTTCTTTTTGGGTCTCGGCGAGCACAGTATTCTGGGGGATTCCGCTTTTTTTGCTTGCTTCGGATTGGGTGTCAGTTTGTTCTATGTGGAAGTTTTTGAGTTTGGTGTTTTTGTATTTTCTTTTTCTCTTTTTGGTTTTTCCATTTCTGCTGTAAGAGGATATCTTATCCTCTTTTTTCTTGGCCTTGAGCCTTGAGCCTTGAGCCTTAATAAATCTTTGTTTGTTGCTGGTCAAAAAAAAAAAAAAAGTAGGTTCAGTTGTGTGTGCGCGTAATAAGAGTTATGCAGTGAAGTTGAAGTTACTATAAGGATGCAGTGGTGTTCGTGCCCTTTGTTGTTCCTTTATGAAGAATGCTATTTATAAGGGAATCATAGGTCGGTTGACTTACTAGCTATGGAAACAAAATATTAAGGGGAAGGGAAGGAGTAAAAAGAAGGTAACTGGTGATGCTTCATATCTGTGACTGTGATGGCTTTTTATGCATGTCTTGTTTGAAGTAATAGTTAGTAATTATTTTGTAGTGAGGGGTTCTCGTATGACACTTCATTGCTACGCCCTCATGATCTTAGTTTGATATATGTGACTTCTCAGATGATGTAAAGCACTTCATACACATATCATTCAATCTTTGGTTTTGATTTCGTTTGTTGACTATGGAGCATCTAATGTCAGGTTGCTTGATCTGATGCATTTTTATGTCTTCTGTCTGTCAAATCACTAGAAAATGATGGCTTCTTTTCAATTACCTTCTTATGTGTACACATCCTTTGTATTGCAGAGATGATCCAGAACTTGACAGAATGTTTAAGGAGAGAGTTAGATGGGGTGATCCTATGGCACATTTGGTGAAGGTAACTAGTGACTTGTCTGTAGACTCTAGTTTGCTGAAATGACAAATTTTGTATTGATTTTTGAATTGTTCCCCAATGTTTCAGAAAAAGTATCCCGAGCATGTTCTATCAGACCTAGGAGATGATGATAAGATGAAAGAATCAGGGTTTATAGTCCCTCAAGACATTCCTAGTCACAGCTGGTTAAAAAGAGGATTAGATGCTGCACCAAACCGGTATGGTATCAGACCAGGGAGACACTGGGATGGGGTCGATCGTAGTAATGGTTTGTTTACTTGCACCTCTTCTCAAGTTAAATGTATTTTTTCCCCCCAAATGCTTTCAGCTTATATTTTACGCTCCGTTTGTTTGGGTGCAAGACGTTTTCCAAAAACGTTTTTTTGTAGAAAAAGTTTTCCTACCTTGGTTGCAACCTTGAAACCTAGTGATTGCATTAGTGGTAGTGGTAGTGGTGGTGGTGGTGGTGTTGGTGGGATGGTGGTGGTGATAATGTGGTCAGATTGGTAAGGTGAAAATCATTTTTTGCCCTAACAAGCTTTTTTTCCATTAACCACAGAAAACATTTTCTATTGAATTTTGTTTTCTGTTGTACCAAATGCCAGAAAATGAGAAAAGGTTGCAACCTTGAAACCTAGTGATTGCATTAGTGGTAGTGGTAGTGGTGGTGGTGGTGGTGGTGGGATGGTGGTGGTGATAATGTGGACAGATTGGTAAGATTTTGGTTTGGAAAACTCTTTCTACCTTTCAAAAGTGAAAATCATTTTTTGCCCTAACAAGCTTTTTTTCCATTAACCACAGAAAACATTTTCTATTGAATTTTGTTTTCTGTTGTACCCAAATGCCAGAAAATGAGAAAAGCATTTTCCAGATTTCCATTGAAACAAACGGAGCATTATTTTATTTTGTTTGGCGTGAGCTGATTCTCATCATTCTTTTTTGAAATTAGAATAGTTAAAGAAATTATGAACTATATGTATTTGTATTGTATTTCTATTTGTCAAAATTATTTAACCTCTGTTGTTCTGTGCTTTGTAGGGTTTGAAAAGGAAATGTTTAAAAGGACAAATGAGAAACAGGCTACGGAAAGAGAAGCGTATCTTTGGTCTGTCTCAGATATGTGAAGTGTACACCAAAGAAGACGACACAAACTTTGTTTTACTGCTTAGAAAGTGCAATGAGGGTTTTGTCCGAGCTTCCTATATCTCTCTTATTGGGTAATTTTCAAATTGTCTGTGGAAGATTAGTTTTGAGAATCGAATAATTTAGCTATGTTGTTGCCATCTCTTTTTGTATTAGCAAGTCCGAAGTGAAAACAATTGCGAGGATCAAAGCCTGATTATCTGAAATTAACTTTCCGTATTGGATTTTTTTTTTTTGTTTGGTGTCTTATTTTCTCCTTACCTTGTCCTGGAAATAATTGGATTCTGCATGTTTGCAATATGTAATCTGAATGAATAGTCATTTTGAAGAGCTAAGGTCGAATTGAAAACAATGAAGATAGTTGATTTGCTTGTGAAGAGCCTTGTAAGTGATTAGCAGCAGAGGATCTGTGTTTGTCTCTCACACACATTATTCATCATAATATCAGAGTTCTCATCCTGCCTTTCAAATGAATTTTCAATTTTTATTTATTTATTAAATTTTTTTTTTTGAGTTACAGTAATCACTTGTGAAGGCCATCTGTTGAAACATGGTTTTGGCTTGGAACGAAGTATTTTTGAGGAAGACTTTTGCTTGATAAAAAAGGGTTAGGGACGATCAACTGTAGGAATCCTCTTTAGCTTTGACCAAACGAGTCTCTCTCTTATGTGCTAGGAGCTGGTCATGAGGGGTTTAGATGGTACAGCAAGAAGGGATTGCACACGGAAAACCACTAGAGCTTTTTTAAGATGGATTTGATCGTCTCTTGATTTTATAGCCCTACCAAGATTTTAGTGAGTGGAAGCAGAGAATTGAGGTAGATGAGAATCACATCACCTTCTATGGAGACTTGAATCTAGAGTAAGCATTTTATTGCGAGGTTGTTTGGGGTGTTTACAAAAAAATAAACTTTTTGATTGAATAAGTAAAAAATCTACTTGTCATCAACTTAAAAAGTTCAATAAGAAAATTCCACTTTTCCCCTCACAAAAACAACCTTTTTAGTAACATTTTTTCAAAATATTAACTTTTTAAACTTCTAGTAAAGTTTTTATTTATTTTATTTTATTTTTATTTTTATTTTTAGCCAATCCAATTTTGTAGGTGATATTTGGATATAGATTTAGGCCTCGTTTGACAAGTGACTTTTTTAGTTAAAAAGTCAAAAAGTCACTAAAAAATCAAAAGGTCAACAATCTATACTAAAAAGTCAAAGATTTTTTTTTTCTCTACTTTTTACATATCTTTTCGTAAAAAGTCATCTCAAATATACTAGTTTGTTGTACATCATATTTTAGTCAAAAAGTCAAAAAGTTACTAAAAAAGTTAATTCCCAAGCGAGGCCTAAGTCTTCATTTGGAAAGAGTTAAAATAGTCTAATTTTTTGAATTTTTGGTTATTTTAGCCTGACTTTTTTAGCCTCGTTTGATTTTTATTTTTGGTTTTTTTGACTTTTGTGAAAGAAAAAAGTGTAATGATTATGGTTTGGATGTGACATTTTGTTTTATTGACTTAGATCATCTCTAACGGTGAACCAAACTTGACATCAGGTTTAAATTTTGGTAAAAAGTCACTTTTTGATGCTCCAACGGTTTTAGCAATTTGATATCAAAATGAGAATTCAACAAAAAAATCAACAAACTGAGAATAGTGTCCAGATTTCAGCAAATTACTGTGTGTGATCGTTGGAGGAGAGGAACCGGTCAACCAGCTGGTTGCCCGGCCGATTGACCAACTGGTCGACCGGTTCAGCGGCTCAGCAATTCTGCGATAGGTTTGAACTAGTTGATTTGAACTGTGAGCTGGTTGGTTTGAACTGTGAGCTGCGTGACCGGTGGAGGAGAGGAACCGGTCAACCAGCCGGTTGACCAACCGGTCGACCGGGTTGATCAATTATGCGCCAACAGTAATGAACTGGTTTATTTTGAGATAGGTTATTTTGTGGATTATGAATAATTTGGAGAGTGATATAAATTTAAATTCCCTTCAAAATATAATTGAAATTGTTACCTCTCATATACATATTTCAGAACTAGCCGTTCCAATAATTTACCGTTGGATGGACAGAGTATTTTGAAAATTTCCCGTTAATGATGTGCTCTATAAAATATATCTATTTCGTATATCAAGCTGACAGAGTATTTCATTTTCAGAATAACATTACATTATATGCTGTGAATTTCGTTTCTTTTGTGTCATTAGAAATTTTTTTCCCTTGAAATTTTAATTTATATTATCTGATTAAATTATTTGATTCTGAGGTTGAGTGTATATCATTCTAATATTTTTTGGTAAGTTAGATATTATATGTTCTTTATTTTTTTCAAACTGTGGAAGATTTTGAAATGTTTGAGGAATCACAAATGTTGGAGCACAACACTCATATGAGTGATATAAATTTAAATTCCCTTCAAAATATAATTGAAATTGTTACCTCTCATATACATATTTCAGAACTAGCCGTTCCAATAACTTACCGTTGGATGGACAGAGTATTTTGAAAATTTCCCGTTAATGATGTGCTCTATAAAATATATCTATTTCGTATATCAAGCTGACAGAGTATTTCATTTTCAGAATAACATTACATTATATGCTGTGAATTTTGTTTCTTTTGTGTCATTAGAAATTTTTTTCCCTTGAAATTTTAATTTATATTATCTGATTAAAATATTTGATTCTGAGGTTGAGTGTATATCATTCTAATATTTTTTGGTAAGCTAGATATTATATGTTCTTTATTTTTTTCAAACTGTGGAAGATTTTGAAATGTTTGAGGAATCACAAATGTTGGAGCACAACACTCATATTAATTTTATGTCGGAAACTTCACAAGAGCAGAACAAGTAGAACAGTGATAATCATTTTATTTTAGAAACTTCTCGTGTTTCTCGTAGTAAAGCGTTTACAATTATAGAAGATGAAACTTTATGTAGATCTTGGTTAGCAGTCTCTCAAGATCCCATTACTGGTAATAGTCAGACTATGGCTATATTTTGGGAACGAGTCCTTGTTTATTTTAATTCATAATTGAGAGGTGAATCAAATCGAAACCGTATTTCTTTGTCTCACTGTTGGTCTGGTATGCAAAAGGCAATTAATAAATTTTGTGATTTTCTTGAACAAATTCAACTGAGGCAACAAAGTGGAACAACTGACGCAGATATGGTAAAATTTATTTGTGTTATTAAATATCAATTTTCTTTTCTAAATGTATACTTGTTATTGAAATGTTTGTAATTTTTTTTGTAGGTCACTGAAGCGAAGCAGATGTATCATGCAATACAGAAAAAACACTTCACATTTGATACATGTTGGGATATTTTGCGCCGAAGTTGTAAGTGAGATGAATTTCAATTACAACCCAAAAGAAGCACGCAACATGCTGATCTATGTTCGAATCCACCAACTGAATATGAGGCATTTCAAGCCAACCAGAATAATGCGGTGCACGAACAACCATCTAATATATCAACACGACCAATTGGTACTAAGGCAGCGAAAGAGAAGTTGAAGAATCAAATAACACACGATAGTAGATTTGATGAAATGACTGTCAACCAATCCAAAATTGTTGAAGTGTTATCAACTATCTCCGTTAGAACTATTGAGCGAGATAAACAAAAGGCGATAGACCGTGAGCAGAAGGCTGCAGAGCGTCGAAGAAGGGCCGAAGATAGGGAGGAACAACTAAAACTCCTATCTATGATGAATGAAAGAGAACAATGAAATGAAGATCATAAAATAATGTCAATGGCCATGACAATTTTAAATCCTATGCAAAGGGCGTACTACGAAGATCTTCAACGACAGATTTTATTTCGAACAACTAATAGATTGCCTTGAAAGGTTCTGTATTAGTGGGTTTCATCTATTGGTTTTATTATCTAAAAATATTACATCTAACTTGTATTGGTTAGTTTTATTGGAATTATTAATGTGATAAGCAATCATGTAATCACAATTTTATTAAATGGAACATAATGATTTATGGAACATCATATTTCAAGTTGAATGTGGATTTATGGATTTTTAAATTTCAATGTGGATTTATGGATTTTTGCCATAGTTTTTGTCATATTTAAAGTTCAAATTTTATGGATTTTATGGATTTTTATTAAACATCAGATTTTATGAATTTTTGCCATGTATTTTTGCCATATTTCAAGTTCAATGTGTAATTGTTGCCATGTTTTTTGCATAGGGAGATCTTTGGTTTGTAGTTCAATGTGGATTTTTTTTGATTAACCTTGTCTTGTTTAAAATGATATTTCAAGTGAAGGCCATTGACTACTATAACATGATTTATACCAGAAAATCATAACTGAATAATGACCTTTTTGTAGCATTTTCAGAATGTACATAATCATGTCCTTTGTCAAATAGGCATTAAAATGAAAAACTACAATATAAAGTGATAATAACTGCATACGCTAATGTCATAACTAAATAGGTTTTAATTAACCTCGTCCTCTTTAACAAATTGATCTAACAAAAGGTTGTTAAAATAACAAAATACAAAACAATGCAAATACATAATGTCAAACACATCAACAATCATTATCTGGTGGTGGTGGTGGAGGAGGGAAGTAGTGATGGTATATGTCATTTACGCGATGCTCAATCCTATCTATGCGATTGTTTGCCACTTCATGACGTCTTTCAATGTCCACACGGAACTCACTAAATTATTGAATTAATGAGTTCTGCGAAGTGGCAAATGTATCAAACTGAGTATCCAACGAATTGACCTGATTAGCCATTTGATGTTCCCATTGAGCGCATTGATTATAATGTTGTTCTTCCATGGCCAAAAACTCAGTCCAATATTGAGGTAGTTCAGTTGATTGCATCACATTGGCAGGAGGATCTTCTGGAGCATCATTTGGTGGGACTTCATCTTGTGAATCTTCTGAAGCATTAACACTTCCCATTAAATTGGAGGCTGCACCAGCACGGGTCACTGTATACTGAGTAATGGGTGAACGGATTTTGATCTCCATTTCATCTACAAGGCGAACCCTAAAATGTTTGAAATTTTTTGTCAAGAGTGCCCCAAACAGTAATGACCGACCCGTGGATTGACCTTGATTTGCGAAAATCATTTCTTTCATAATTATGTAACACAAATCTAACTTATGGCCAACTTCAAAACAATATAACAAATAGGCATTAAAATATGGGACTGCATCATGATGTCCTTTTTTTGGAGTGACATTTTCTACAATCCACCGGTGGAGAATCCGAAGATAAGGTTTTAAATGTCTTGCTTGTAAACTAGTCCCAATAAATCTGTTCTTACAAATAGTAGTATATACATCAGTAGCATTACCAACAATATCAGCTAACTCAGCCTCAGTCTGAAAATGGATATTTT